ATATATATATATATATATATATATATATATATATATATTTCTAATCCTAATCAAATCAGCTCCCCGAAGTAGCAGTCCAATGTCGGTTACCCATCCCATAGTGAAAGATCGACTAAGTAGGAGTCGGAACATCACCGCACACATCAACTTGACGATTGGAAACTAGAACTAGTGAAAGATATATGCACATAGAGGAGAGATCAAATACGTAGGAACCGGAACATCATAACATGTATGAACTTGACAATGAGAAACTTTGAACTAGTGAAGGACACATGTATGTGGAGGAAAGATCAACTAAGTGGGAACCGGGACATCACAACATACATAAACTTGACAATGAGATACTTGAACTAGTGAAGGACATATGCACATGGGGGAAAGATCAACTAAGTAGGAACCGGAACATCACAATATACATCTACTTGACAATGAGATACTTCACCTAGTGAAGGACACATACATATGGAGGAAAGATCACTAAGCAGGAACCGGAACATCACAATATATATGAACTTGACAATGAGATACTTGAACTAGTGAAGGACACATGCATGTGGAATGCAAGGGGAACAGCCAAGAGTAAAATGGAACAACACCCAGTAGTTAAGGGATGAAAACGCAGGCTAGACTAGTTCATACACACGTGGGATGCAAGGGGGGAACAACCAAAGTAAAACGGAACAACACCAAGTAGTTGAAGGATGAAATACAGGCTAGACTAGCTTATACCCAATGTGGAATGCAAGGGGAACAGTCAAAGGTGAAACGGAACAGCACCAAGTAGTTGAAGGATGAAACACAGAGTAGACTAGTCCACACACAATACAAGGGGAACAACAAAAGGTGAAACTGAACAGCACCAAGTAGTTGAGGGATGAAACACAGGCTAGACTAGATCATACACAAGTAGGATGCAAGGGGAACAACCAAAGGTGAAACGGAACAACACCAAGTAGTTGAGGAATGAACCACAGACTAGACTAGATCATTCGCAAGTGGAATGCAAGGGGGAACAACCAAGAGTATAATAAAACAGCACCAAGTAGTTGAAGGATGAAAACACAGGCTAGACTACCTTATACACAATGTGGAATGCAAGGGGTACAGTCAAAGGTGAAACGGAACAGCACCAAGTAGTTGAAGGATGAAAACACAGGCTAGACTAGGTCATACACATTTAGGATGCAGGGGGAACAACCAAAGGTGAAACGGAACAACACCAAGTAGTTGAGGGTTGAAACACAGGCTAGACTAGATCATTCACAAGAGGGATGCAAGAGGGGATAGTCAAAAGTGACGCAGAACAACACCAAGTAGTTGATGGACGAAACACACGCTAGACTACACAATGTGGAATGCAAGGGGAACAACCAAGAGTAAAACGGAACAGCACCAAGTAGTTGAGGGATGAAAACATAGGCTACACTAGTTCATACATAAGCGGGATGTAAGGGGGAACAACCAACAGTAAAACGGAACAGCACCAAGTAGTTGAAGGATGAAAACACAGGCTAGACTAGCTTATACACAATGTGGAATGCAAGGGGAACAACCAAAGGTGAAACAGAACAACACCAAGTAGTTGAGGGATGAAACACAGGTTAGACTAGCTCATACACAAGTGGGATGCACGGGGGAACAGTCAAAAGTGAAACAGAACAGCACCAAGTAGTTGAGGGATGAAACACAGGCTAGACTAGCTCATACACAAGTGGGATGCAAGGGGGAACAATCAAGAGTGAAATGGAACAACACCAAGTAGTTGAGGGATGAAACACAGGCTAGACTAGTTCATACACAATGTGGAATGCAAGGGGAACAACCAAGAGTGAAACGGAACAGCACCAAGTAGTTGAGGGATGAAAACGCAGGCTAGACTAGTTCATACATAAGTGGGATGCAAGGGGGGAACAACCAAAGTAAAGCGGAACAACACCAAGTAGTTGAAGGATGAAAACACAGACTAGACTAGTCCATACACAAGTAAGATGCAAGGGGAACAACCAAAGGTAAAACGGAACAACACCAAGTAGTTGAGGGATGAAACACAGGTTGGACTAAATCATTCACAAGGGGGATGCAGGGGGGAACAACCAAGAGTAAAACGGAACAGCAGGATGGAAACACAGGCTAGACTAGTTCAATCATATAAGTTTATGACTCAAAAATGTAACCAAGCTTTTAAACGGACAACCATCATGTGAGAAGTGAGCACAAACTACTCTAGTTCAAAACGCAAGCTTAGAGCAAGGATCACCTACGACAGAACCGGATCACCACCTACTATCATGTGAGTGAAAGCAAGAGTCTAACAAGATCAAACACAAAGATTTGAGCAAAGATCCATTCATGGAAGAATCAGAGCACATTCTACTACGAATGTGGGTGAAGCAAGAGTCTAAGTAGGCTAGATCGCCAAGGTCGAACCAAAGGTCATCCATGAAAGAAGCGGTGTACTACCTACTAGTGTGTGAGTGAAAAACATGAACTTGAGTCGGCTAGATCACCAAGATTGTATCAAAGATCATCCATAGAAGTAGCGGTCCACTACCTACTAGTGTGCGAGTTGAAAAACATGAACTTGAGTAGGCTAGATCACCAAGATTACATCAAAGATCATCCATGGAAGTAGCGGTTCACTACCTACTAGTGTGTGAGTGAAAAACATGAACTTGAGTAGGCTAGATCACCAAGATTGAATCAAACATTATTCATAGAAGTAGCGGTGCACTACCTACTAGTGTGTGAGTGAAAATCATGAACTTGAGCAGGCTAGATCACAAAGATTGCATCAAAGATCATCCATGGAAGTAGCGGTGCACTACCTATTAGTGTGTGAGTGAAAAGCATGAGTGTGAGTAGGCTAGATCACCAGGATTGCATCAAAGATCATCCATGGAAGTAGCGGTCCACTACCTACTAGTGTGTGAGTTGAAAAACATGAACTTGAGTAGGCTAGATCACCAAGATTGAACCAAAGATCATCTATAGAAGTAGCGGTGCACTACCTACTAGTGTGTGAGTGAAAAACATGAACTTGAGTAGGCTAGATCACCAAGATTGCATCAAAGATCATCCATGGAAGCAGCAGTGCACTACCTATTAGTGTGTGAGTGAAAAGCATGAGTGTGAGTAGCCCAAATCACAAGTATCCAACATGAGATTATCCATAGACGCTCCGGCAGAGCTCCCGCAATCGGTGGGTGGACTCCCCACAGAGTCTTGATGCAGTCCTACGGGTTGCAATCCCGCCTGCCGCCTTCCCCTCAGAACAAGACCAGACTTAGAGTAAGAAGGATATAAGAAGGAGGTTTAAGACTCTAAGATACAAGAGAGGTGCACTTACACTCGCAGAAGGGGGCCTTATAATCTTTATGCGCCTAAGGGCCCCGCAATGGCAGACACAAAGTAACAGCTTGGCCAAACTCAGAATCAGTCGCCGAGGCCGCACTTCTGACGACTTCCCCGATCCGCAGCAATAACCCCTCCTTCTAAGGCTCAATCACTCCCCCAAGTTCATCCGTCGTGGCACCGTAGACTGCAACAGTCAGTGATAACCGCTATGGTATGCAACAGTATGCAGCGATCAACAGCAGCGGCCTCCACTAGTTTGTCACAGCCTGGGAACAACCAAGGGCCGCAGCTGCGCAAGGTTAATAGTGACAGTCTGCGCGCAACCCGTAGCAATCCTTCCTCCCCATAGCCTCTCTTCGAAAAAGCGTCGTCTGCTGTTTCTT